ATTGGATGTCTGGTCTTGTTGCTGTGGGTCTGGTATTTTTCTTGGATAGTTTACATTCGTTAATCTCAAAGTGGTCTTGCCTAATTCTTTTGAGTGGTGTGGTAACTTTTGAAGTCTATAGTTATTTAACAGTTAAATCTCGGAATTAGTACTGACTCAACTAGAGTTCACCTAATTAAACACGAATATACCTATATTTACATTACGCTTAAATCCCACAAATGCAGGAAATCTAACTACTGCTAATTAACTGCATAATGTTTGTATATTCCGATATTAAACCATTCATCCGCACTATTTGGCTTGTACAAGCATTTTTTTTCGTCCAGGTGTATACCAAAATTTAAACGTACATATTCTATTCATCAGTTGCATTCACAGGCATATATGCACGCGCAAAATTTTGCCTTGTACTACTATGTATTTGTGCTCTGCCCATAATTTGTATAGTCTGCTGTGGCCCGGTGATATTCAGCGGTCGATTCGTTATGGAATAGTATGGAACCGCGCTTTTGACCTCATCATGTGCCGAGTGTCCAACAGCTTAGTAATTTGTACAAATTTTTGGCTTTCACATTCGCACCATCCATCTTATCTGACCGATATTTTTTATTTGACGCACTCAATTTCCCGCCGTTAAGTCAAATTTTGTATACTATCTTTCCCGATTTATTGTTTTGTAGGAAAGTGAACAACAAAAAGGGGACGACTCGAGGGATAGGCGCTTTTGCTTCATAATAATCAGTGTTGTTGCTTTTGCATTTGGTCAACGGGATCTTCTTGAAGACATTTAGCTCTGAGCGTTCACTCTCGATCGCAGGAGTTATTTTTGTTACCGTTGGTGTTATCGGACACATCCTTTTTTATGAACAATTTTTCGTTTCTCTATATTAACCAGTATCAAAATTTTTTTATAAATTGCTCTTAAATACTGACATGGGCCTCTCTCTGCCTCTGTTGGTAAATGCGAAACGGAGCGATGTATAGGTTGATTTTTAATGAAATGAAAAGAGTAGTGAATAAACGCAGGGAATATAACGGAGAAATCGTTGATGATAACGAGTTCGTCTGGTGATTGAGGTAGAACCCCAAGCTGTGGGGGTTGCGATGCAAATGTAGGCCAAGGCGCAGCGGTGTCATTGCCTGTTGAGCAATTTAAGTGATGTTATCTTGGGGATACCTGTGGCTGTGGGTTGTTCGAATACCTTCGTTTCGGGGTTCGCCATCGTGCATGCCTTTTATAGGCGCTTGAAATCATTGTCTGGTGCTTGACTTACATTCGATCCAAACATCGTTGGCATAGCCGAGAAGCGAGAGGCTTAGAAACTCGGTGCAGTTATTCCGAGGGGGGGACTGATTTCGTGGAAAAAGGGCTGTGAGTGAAGTAGAGCACAGATGGCGAGCTTGTAGGCGTGGCAGATCAGCGCACTCCTTTTGCACATAGAACTTTGATACTCTTAACTACTAGAAAGTAAAATGAATAGTATCTTGCTTGATCGATAAATTCCTCCAGTGTCCGTCGTTTTGGTCTGCTATTATGTAGTTTTGAACCACAAAATCTCCTCTAGTGTGGTGTGTTGTTCCATTGTACAACAGTTTCGTTTCTTATGGAAAATGAAATAAAGGAATATGGTGACTTACAACTTGTCAAAAATTGGACTACTTAAACTCGATGTCAAATTCTTCGAGTAAAGATAAGATTAATTGTGGGTCTGGTATGCTGCATGCTACAAGCTAGCAATTTCGTCATGAAATCGCTGTAATATTACTTGGCTCGTTTGGGTGCCGGAATCATTGCCAGAGCTTTCGGGTGGCATAACCCGTCGCTCTCAAGCACTGGTGCTGTTCTATCGATGAACTTGATAATAGCCTTGACACAACTTGACTATGAAAACAAAAAATGTGATTAAGTAACCATTGGCGGATGCAGAAACTGCATAAAAAGGCAAGTTCATTTCTGGATAAAATGTCTTTACCTTCAGTTAAGACCATAAGAGATTGGCTTTGTCGATGGTATCACCAATGCAATGGCATCAAATGAGGTACTGCATTTCATCCACGGTAAAATCAGACGACCTTCCCAAGGGAAAGGATCAGAAAGCAGTCTACTGACTACTTGATCCCACCCGAATCAATTAGGACAAAAAGTTGATGTGTTAGATAGCCAGTTGAGAAAACACCCGTCTAGGTATTTACACTGCGTAAGTACACTGGTTACTTTGTTGCAGTGATTTGATATTTTTGTAAGAATCCCGCGCGATTCGACAGCAGGATGTTCATATAGTAGTAAAGCATGGAAAAGATTGAGCACACCTCTGAGAGCTCAAGCATAAATATGCAATTAAACTAGGCCACTTTTGGCAAGACATGCCCATGTTTGTGAGGCGAGAAATCTACTTTCTACACATAGATCCGTATCGAAAATGACAGAATGAAAGCATGTGCCCAGGAAATATTAGTAATAGGCACCTATTTTCAGTAGAAACGAGTCAAATCGATTTCTGGCCTAGTTGCTACAAATGCTATTGAAACATAATATCTACTTAATCATACCACTTTCCATAGTAAAAAACTAGTCCTGTTAAGGGGAGCGATGACACCGTACGCGATATACACTTGTAGATGCGTATGCTTGCGAATTCTATCACAATTTACCTCACCTTAAGGCTTAAAGTCGGTGAGATTAGGTGACCTACAGGTTTAAAAACTGATCTAGCAGCAATGGTTCAGGCACGATGTTACGCAGTTTAATGCAGTGAGCTGAGTCAAAAGTGAAGATATTGGCTATGATGTAATAATAAAGAGGAAGTGTAAGTTCTTGTGAATAGACTCATCGATATCATTTCCGGATTTCATAAACAAATAAAGTACGGTAATTTGACTTTAAGTTTATACAAACCACTAAATAAATACTGGATTTCATAAGTCGACAAACACGAATAGATTTATGCAACATTTAGCTTATACACTGGATTAGTAATTGTGACGACGGTTCCTTGAAAGTGTGGCAATTGCTTTTGTATTAGGACTGGTTGTTATTACGCAGTTTGGTTGATTAACTAGTTCATATTATCGCCATCTACAGCGTACGACACGAGGAACTGGCACGCCCATCGTAGGGTTGGCCATCAAGCCAGTGTTCTGATTGGCTGCCTACTCAGCCTCAAATGGGAGTGCGTGAAATGGATTATGCGAACTTAAAAAGGCGGACTACATGTTTGTGTTCATGCCCTCTCGCAAACGTCGCACTCATCCATCACACTAGTGTGATCTCCTAAGGGAAGTGTACAATTCAACGACTGCTGATCAACGAACAAGTCACATCTCAAACCACAAGCTTAGCCATTTCAAAATGGATAAATTGCAGAGACCACCAGCATTTATTAGTTGAGAGACCAAAATGCAATGGAGATGAACGAGCTCACTGAAAACAGAAATATTTCTCTTCGACTGCTATGCCAAGGGAGTAAGCTGCTGACTATCTTTATCGGCTCAATCTACTTGTGTATGTCTATCTCGGCCATGGCCTTGAATGGTCTTGTTCTCACGGGTCTGGCCCACCTCTCCTACTCATCAAGCTCAAAACGATTTCTGGGCATCCGCAGATCATTCAACAAAGGTCATCCACATTTTAGGCTGAAAAATCTGCAACACACAAGGAGCGTTAAGGTTATGCGTCTTCACACTTCCGATGAGGAAGGCTGTAATTCCTTCACAACTAATGAGACCTCCATGAACACATCTGGCCTGGAATATCAAAAGGATTCCTCCATCCACCGATCACCAAGTTGTCCGGACCGAATGTTCTATCTCTGTGGTGCTCAGACGCGTTTCACTACAAAGGAATCAAATTATTGGCTGAATCAGTTAAATGTGGGACGAAAGAGATCCGTAAAACAGTGTCCTCAGCCAAAGGCACGTCTCACAACAGCTCTTCACCTTGTCTACTCCCTTATCCTCGCCGACTTACTAAATGCGATAATGACATCAATGAATTTGTTGCTCGATTTTTGGTACCCCAATTATGCCTCCTCGATCAACCCTAGTGACGCATCTCAGGTTAAGACAGCTGAACCCTGTACACGCCTGGTTCTCTCCGCCATTCTCTACACTTCCTACAACGCGTCTCTCTGTAGCATAGCCGGTCTCATGATGGATCTCTATCTCGGGGTGGTGCGTCCCATGCACTACCGCGTGTTGCCCAAAAGTACACTTCTCAGGTATATATGCGGGAGTTGGGCATTTGCTCTTTTTCTCGGCTGTCAGCAATTAATTCTTCCTGCCTTCCAAACACGGGACACAAGTGCACCAATCTACCGAAGGTTCCTCCTGCCATCCGAACCCTGTGACATTCTTCACAACCCTAATCGGACTAATTTCTGCCTCATCCGCGGAACAGCGAACACCTTTCGTAGCGGATTCATCAGTGGTGGATTCCTTTTCATTTGCATAGTCATGATGAACACACTATGCATTTTATCATTACAAAAGGTACGCAGGGACTCTCTTACTCGAACGCGTACAATGAGAGCCATGGACACGCACAGAAGCGTCTCCCTTCCGACGATTAATAGAGTTGACGGGTTCGGTTCCCCTCTTCACGGCCTTAGAACCGCGCACTTTATGATGGCGAGGACCACTCCTCGTTGTACTGGACGAAAACTTCTTCGTAGCTCATTCACTCTTCTCGCCCTCACCGCACTCTTTGCTGTATTCTTCCTACCGTCTCTGGCTTTGGACGCTTATTTTGTTCTCACTGACAAGGCTCCAAAATTACCTCCTTGGATTTTTGACCTTGTCACCCACATGCCAATCTCCGTTGCCCTGCTAAACCCCATAGTCTACTCTTTGAGACTGAATGATATTCACGCGGGGCTGCACAACTTCAAGAAACGCCTCCTGGCTCGCTCCGAGAAGGGCTTCCTACTCAAACGCTTGCGCCCGCATCGTGAGCTGAGTCTCAACAACACGAAACCCACCGCCCACCTGCAGATACGCCTGCCACCCAAAAACACTGACGTCGTCCGATACGATCACTGAAGTAGTTTATTTCTTTTATGAGATTTTTTATAGAATCCACCCTGAACACACAGCAAATTTGCTGTAATGACTCCTATTTATATATTTCAATTGTGATAGAGTTGTGCTTCAATACCATCTTTCCCAAATTGAGTGTACACGCTTAGTTGGTTACATTGCTAATCATCAATGCTCTCTTTTAAAAATGGGTAAAATTTAATGATTTTTTAGTACTGATGTTTTTAGGGTTTTTCATCAGAAAGTAGTAAGTGCAGTTTAAAATGTACACCTCAAACAATGGAAGTTACGAAATAAAACTACAACTGATTCAAATAGTACAGAAATATCCAAGTATGTTCAATTTATTCCTTATAGTAAATCATTGCCGGGTAGGGTTTCCCAACTTTTTAATCAGGTCAAAGCTAAAAACCTCATTTACTTTAAAAATGCTCGATATTCGCAAAAATGCGTCAAGTGTTGGGGTGATTTGTCATCTTCCACTGTTCTATATGATCTCAAAAAACTAATTACAAAGAGACGCGTTCATTACTACTCGACAGTTTATCACTGTCACCCTGCAAATGGATAACGTAAAGGCGATTCACCTTGCACAGTGACGGTCAGATCATAAATCTCTGCTAAAAGTATCTTAGTTAAACCCAAGGGGGCAACAAGCATGATCATGTCTGTAATTCTGGTATTGCGACAAGTATTTATGTTAGAAGAGGGCAAAATACCACCCTCCTCCAAGCAGGAGTGTATAGATTACGGAGCTTACTAACAAATCTCAGAGGACAGTAGTATCGCATTGGTTTTGGCTGACATGAAGTTACTGCGATGGTGCCAGATAACTAGAGCATTCATATTTCTACGTTTTTATGGCTAGTCCTTTAATTGGAACTTACTGAGATTCATAATGGAATATGCGCACCCGGATTATGACTGAAATTACATGGTGGCTCAACTTAAGTAGGCAATAACTTGGAGGATACCTGACTCCAATAAATAGCGCTATCGCCAAAGTGGCGAATTGTCCTCTGCAAAGAAACAAAGAAGGAAAGCTTATTTATAATTCCGATAAAGCTATCATGTAAAACCCACATAACGTACCTAGCTGGAAATATTATAGTCAATCATTTCACTTAAATGCGGGCGAACTAAGTAGCAACAAAGGTAAAAACGAAAGTTTTGAATAAAGTTACCCTATTGCTTGCGTTTAGAAAACGTTTTATTTCTTCAGGGAATCGTGGTAGTACTAATTTCTTGGGGTAAATGCATCATAATAGGGTAAAACTAATATGATACGGTGAGTTTCTTGAGTGCTGCAAAGCAATTACTATGATTGCATACCCATGAACGACAAATATAAAAGATCGAAAATAATCTTAAATGGTGTCGTACCAGAAGGTGTGCAAAGAAGGGTCACCACGTTGCTTGAAACACGCACCTTGGCTTGGATTTGGCTGTGAGGTTGGGGTCATCGCCTTTCACGAAATAATAGACTAAGCGTGTTCACCTCGATGGGATCCCAATGCAGCTTCCTCTTGGGATATTATTCGTGTTTTGCATTACCTTTGAGTGAATTCCTTACTGCTTACGCATTAAGTAGGGGTAGAAAGCAAATGCTACAAAGTGTCAAAAGATCGTATTTAAACCAGCCAACATATGGACACTAGTACGGTTCAAGAAGGAGTATGACATCTGCATGGATGGACATCTCTCAGTAGATGTGAGTGGACTAATTTGACAGATGATGCTCAAATATTCGGGCTCCTTAACCCGGCAGAAAATTGTCAGTAAAAGGTCAGCAGTTCAACCCCTACTACTAGTGGTTAAGGCTGCAAGACTGGAGCATACTGCGGGGACCAGCATACAAACGAAAGTTAATTACGCCAGTAAACGGAGTGTCGTCATTTCATTCATCACTGGGCTGAAACGCTGGCAGCCTATTCGAATAACGCAAAATCATCCTGATCGATTGCCAAAATGTTTATTTTGCATTTTCGGCCAATTTTTTTAAAGATATTTCACTTCTTCCTTAGAGGTCATTCCTTAATTATTTAAAGTCGCTTTAAAGTATTACGGTTGAATGTTTTTTAATTCAGAAATATCATTGGTGATGTATTGTGATGCTATTTCTTCCCAAAATCTGCAATAAATACCAAAACCTTGGAATTGAGTGATGGGTTTCTAGGCGGTGACATTTATAATGAAATTTGTTTATTCATGTAACGAAACCTAAGCAGCACATTTGGTAGCATGTCCCTGGTTCTTGGGATGGGTTTGGCAAATGTAGGCGTCTTCACTTCTGAGGTGCTTTCACCAGCAGGGGAGGATAATACGGGCTAATAACAGCATATTTATAGATGCGCTTCTCAAATGTATTGAAGTATCGCAGGGAAATAAAGTACGCATCGCTTAAATTCTGCATAAAATTTGTGCATTGGAAACCAGGTATTATTTTAACTCATTAATGACAAACCTATCCGTCATTTTTGTATAAAATGGAGATATTAGACATGGAATTCACCTCGTGTTTTTGGGAAGTGGTGTTGGGTTGAATTAACCAAGGGTAAAATAAACTGGAGTCAAATGTGACAACATCAGAGGAAACAGCTGTTCACTCTATTTTCATTGTCTCCTTGCCCTCTGGCTAATCTAACCGCATATGGCATCCCAGTCACCGTCTCTCCGAATGAGAATATATTCTAAGCCGCAAAGGCTCTCTAGTCAGTATGTACATGCACGAAATATATGCGTTTATTTGGCCACGAATTCAAAACATTCATTGCTGGAATGAGCCAAATGGCGAGGATTGTCCATTAAGATTTTGTCTCAAGGAAAATCCCGAGAAAAAGAATGTTCAAAGTGGAAAATAAAATTACCAAAAGCACAAGAAGTAATGAAATTATGTTTGATACGGTGAGTACGGCCAAAGTGTAATAAGATGCTAGGACGGAATACAGATTAGGTCAACTGCAGCTTATTGTACATTTGATAAAAGACCGTCGTATCACATCCACAGCAAAGCATCCACTTCTTCTCTGTTAGTTACTCGGATACTTCATTCGATATGTATGCAATCTAATACTTTCAGTGACACATTGAAAAAATTTGCATGATATGCAGTGGCAATGAAGAATAGGCATTTGAATTAATCGTGCTGTGATGGATTTTCCCACGAACGGATCAGTCAAGTAGGTAAGTACTTAGTATTGGTTCATTTCCATAATCTGAATGCTATAATATGACGGTGTTGTTAAGCTATTTGCATTACTGACGGTGATGCTATTGGGCACACTTTTCTCGTCTTCCAGTCTTCGACCTGGGTGCGGTTAAATCCGACGTCCGCTTTATTACAAAGACATAACTATATGAGGAATGGACTCGCCACATTAGAAGTGTCAAAGATATGAATTTTGTGTATTATGCTTTTAACAACTGGTGTCGAAACAAGTACGATTTTAGGCGCCCATAAAATAAAATCAAGATTTCCACTGAGGTGCAACAGTAGCATTTTAATAATGATACCCAAGAATTCATGCTTTTTACTCGTTAAAAACTTCAGGGATTTTTGAAATAGAGAGACCATATCCTGACTATAGCGATGTACAGAAAATCGCTGCATGATAACTAAAAAAGTTACATTAATCGGGTTGCTATCACTTGTCTGTCAGAGTTAACCAACTCTACATCATACCTAGAGACACAATTTACTTTTTACCCTTCCAAAACAACTACACGTATGTATGATAACTGGAAGCGCAGGACAAAGCTTTATATCAAGAAGAAAGGAGCAGTTTTGCCGCCGGAGACGTTTTCAAATAAGCAGTACTATTTATTTTGACAGTAACTTAAAGAAATAAATATGATGTACAAAATTAGGTCAGACAATTATTTTGATTTTCATAAGGAGACCCTGGGGTCTAGAGCAACTCGGAAATGGATGTGTATACCTGTGGCCACTTTCAAAACTTGGATGTCGCTAGGGTAAATTTAAGGTTAGGGAAATGTGAATATACAAGGAAAAATAATGTTTGTTCTTTGATGAGCAATACCTTTGAAACTTTTGACAGAATGATGCCTTTACAACATGGATTTTATGTATGCAAAGCATTATCTGCAACATGGTTGTGAATAGATTGGACAAATTTCTGCTTCATACTGTCAGCATCTAGATGGATTCATGCAATCCATTCTGCTTAATGTTTGCCACAGGGAGGAATTGCATTAGAAGTTTTTAAACCGACCAACTTAAAAAATACCTTGAGGAGAAGAAGATCAAATCTAGCTTCCAACAATATTTTACCTAAACAAATAATGAAAATGCCGACTTATTTCTGGGGAATGAGCGCAATAATCTCATTTCTCTTAGTGTCACCGAGCCAGATCTGATCTGTCTCTTATAGAATGCATTAGTTACCAGAGTAAAAATAAGTGAAAATTGAGCGTTTTCTGTAGCCCTTATTCCATGGTAAGACTGCGATGCGAATAACTGTTCCAGTGACTGGAAGAAAGAGTACGCGAGAGAACAAAATATGTATTAAAAAAAAGGAAGCTCAGTGAAAAATTTAGAGCTCTGATGAGGATTATCGAGTAGCCAACTAGAGCATATTCAGTAAAATAAAAGCTTAAAGCAATATATTTCTAAGACTCCTTCCAAAAGGCAGTGTTATAGAGTCAACTATGGCGTCGACAAAAACTCCGATTATGGAAGTGAATTAAAAACCCTTTTACGAAGTGAGTAAGCAAATATGTGCTGCACATTATAATACTTTGGACAAACAATTGTTTAACATCAATAAACTTTACGCAGGTGAGTCCGTTTTAGAATTGTTAGCGTAAATTAATCCAACCAACAATCATCAAACGCGGTCTATGTAGGCGGTTAACTCCATAGAGAACTGTTTGTTTGAGCTTAATCTAGAAAGCCATTGGACTAGCCCATTGAGCTGACACTGAGATAGTGTCAGATGATAGTGGTGATGATGGCCACAACTCGGACAGAGTATTGGCAGACAAGTGATGTTTGCTTGCCACATCTTACAGGAAGAAGTCCAAAAGTAATCCATTAAAAAGTCGGATAGATTAACAAAAGATCGTGATGAAGGCATTCTATGATGTTGCGAATTATTTGAATTACATTAAAGTCTATAACATACCCGAAAGCCCCAACTTGGTGTACCACTCATGCAAACGTGGGTGCATTTGGTGGGATGATTTGCCAAAGTGATAAGCTGTGGTGGTTACTTTCTGAACTGATTTGACTTTCAAAGGCCCGTAATATTGTAGAAGCACAATTAGGAAGTGGTGACAGAGACGCCCTCAACTACTGGAAAAAGCAATGAATTTAAATAAGCAACTCTTTTCATTGCTAAAAGTTAACTTCAAGTTTCTAGTAAATATATTCAGAAGTGGCTTCAAAATCTACTTGTGCTTTTGGCTAACCGGACCCTTGTCACGTGTATTGCCTAGTTGGTTGGGTTCTTGAGTCACGCTAGATATTTCATTATTACACCCCAGTAAAATCATCATATTCTATAAATTCTTGCTAAGAGAGTCTACTTTCACAGTGTAACTAAATCTGAAATACATTCCTTCTCCAACAAACGATTCAATCTTCTTGAGCCTAATTCCAGCAAATGACCTTTTGCGAAAATCCTCCTATCTTGTTAGTTTTTGGCAGCACTAAGGCATTTTTCTCGCATCTCTCTTACCCTGCGGTGCAGAAAAGTGGTTCGAAAATGCGTTTACTCATCAATGGTGAAGGTCTGTTAAATTACTTATTTGGACCGCCTGAGATTTAACATGAAAACATTATTTTATCCACTTAGCACAATCTTAAGCTATTTTATTCTGTTAAGAAGGTGTCCTGTTTTATTGCGGTATTTTATGATATCTTTTATAGCATATCTTTCATTTCAGAATTTTTTTGTGTGGTTTAAATCAAAACGGGAGAAGACTAATCATTATGTACCCAGTTAAACACTCAGTTATTGGTAAAGAGGTTCCGGGCTTACTTTCAGAAAGTGGATAAATTGCTTTCTTGCGAGCCCATTTCCCACCAGCATAGTGAGACTTGTGTAAATTTCTCATTTGACGACATTTAACGAATAAAAATGCATCATTTCATAAAACATGATTCACCGAATTGCAAGAAAATCACACCTCCACTTCAAGAACATTTTTTGCTTATTTTATAATATCGTCACATGCAAAACTTGCCAGTTACGTAATAGTAAGCTTCCATTTTTTCATAACAATAATAGCTTATTTACCTTCACGATGCATCTAGGTTGTGCTGTTTCCATTGCTCTGTTCGAATTGTGCTACTTCGATAAGCGTTTCGCCAGAACTTTTTTCTTTCACGTTTTCAGAACAACATTTATTTCTAGGTATCACATCCCTCTTAATGTTTGCTCTCCTTTTAAAATTGTATTACTTCTCTTGGGCACCAAGGAACAGTCAATGCTTTATAGAGGACCCCTTTCAAAGACGGAGCATATATCGTACCTGCTATGAAAATCTGCTATTAATTCAGTTGCGACGCCATGGACGACATAATTGCCAAGAATTGCCAATACTTGAAGTACCATTTTAAAAAGGCACCATGAAAATCGGTTTAACATAAAAAGTAAAGACACGTTGATGGATGCTCCTCTGAGTTATCGCTAAAAAGGGGGTAACATCCTTGTGAGGTCTAACATGTTGATAAGGCTTTATTCATTTCTTAGCATTTGTTTCGATCATCTCGTGCTTAACAGCCGAATGCCTCCCCGCGTTTATGCCTCGTGTGTTAACGTGTGCGCAGTCCAATGTAAGAAATGGGGAAAAGTTAATCCATCACAGTCCATCGCGCAGGCTTGTACTCGCGCTAACGCGCATAATGACAGCGGCTCTGCAGCAGCGTGTGTGAGGAATGAGGGGTTTGGGCGTTTACATAGAATTCTTCTGGCCTCGTGAGTTGAATTTATTCCAAAGGGATGGAGCGACTGGTTGTTGGACTAGTTCAACCACTTTACAAGTAAAAACGTGTAAGAAAACTAGATGCTGGGTCAAGTCACAACACCATTCTATCCATTAACCTGTTCCTCAATGACTTAATTTAGCGTAAAGTATTGCTGAATAAAACTTTTAACCGGTTTATATTTAATTAAAAGGGCTTTAACTTCGCCTACAAGAAGCTGACCATGAATGGATTGAATCAAAACCACCTAATAGAGCCCACGAACTTTATCAGCTTTATCATTTTCCTTATTTCGAGACAAATAGCGTGGCTCATGTCTTAGGCTTAACCTCTTTTAGAGAGCTGAGCTCTTGACGGAGTCGGTAATCATTTCTTTCAGATATTTAGCCTGCCTTCTATCGCATAGGCATAATTGTACCTAAAATTATGGTCCGGCGTTTACCTTCAAGTGTTCTGCGCTGTATTGTAACAAAAATGATACCATTTAAAAAAAATAAGGAGAACCTACCAACTACGGATTACCAAAAACCTTCTAAAAATGGACATTCATGTAAATCATGGCAATGCGATTTTGAGCTTCAGTACATTCTGTTCTGTTCTTACCCAAAATTTTAACCTTTGACACCTTGTCTCGCCCATTTGAATAACTACAGAGTCGACCACATACGCCTGAATAACGTGCATGCACGCCATTGCAGTGCACAAGCTGACTAAAATGTGCGCCACTATACCCTCTCCTAAGTATTCCTGACGTGCCTAGGGGGTAATTTCAAATTCCAGATGACCACAAGTAGACTCTCATGTAAACTTTTGCCTTGTCTGTGAGGGCATAAAGCGTAAAAACGCGAGAAATAGGGGCTTTGAACAACAGCTCCCATATTTACTTCACTTCTTCGATTTCGTAGAGTTGATGCAATCGATTTGGTAAATTCAGGATCCCCACCGGTTTGCTGAGGAAGTTCCCGCTCTCTGTCAAAGCACCATAGTTATTCTCGTCCACGTTGGAAAATGTTTCATTTATCTTATAGGTCATTTGTAAGGTTAACCAAAACGCGATAAAGGATGCCAATAGGTTTACCCCCATTTTTATTTCATCTGCGTTCAGTTTGACTTCGTTGCGATGAAATCAAGTTATAGACACAGATAAACCACATTGGTGACAAAAAAGAGCATATTCAAGAATCTCGTTTCGATACTTACCGTCACCCCTAAGTTATCAGCCTCTCATACAATTTATCCAGACACCGACACCTACAGTGTGTACTCACAAATGTAAGTAGATAAGGTCCGGGTGAAGAAATTTCTCTCCAAGCTAGGTCTAGTGACACAACCATCCATCACCCTAGCTACCACCCATAACTAGCACCGTACACACCAAAGACAGCCGGTAAAATCTAAACCTCTTACTGATCAAGACCACTCACCATAAAATGCGCTAACGGCACCGTCACACACCGTTACGACTTGCCAGATATTCGTGAGAAAGTCCCTCAAGTTCCGTTAACTCTGCTAGGAAGAGTACAAGAAGCTATGCAAAAATTCTCCATTAGCAGGTATCACATTCTAACCTAGTTCATCCCTCCTCACATACAACCAACAAACAAGCTGCACGTGCATTCAACAGTGCCCGCTGCTTGCATGATACTAGAAAGATTAAGAGGACTTCGTGCATGCCACTTTTACAAAACAACTTCCACTCTCAATACTCCATTTCACTATTCTACTAAAGCATCTACTATTTACATATGTAGGAGTACAAGGAAGAAAAAGAAGAATGAGGAATATAAAAGATGAAAGAACATCGGCATGTGGTCAGCTTGTAGTGGTCGAGAGGTTTGCTTGAGGAGGGAAAGACGATAGTGTATCAGAATGTAGATGAAAAACAGAGGCATGAGCAGCTTGAAGATGCCTAGGTCTTTGACTGGACAACATTTATCGAGAATATGGATGAGTGGCAAAGGTTGCAATGCCGAACAGCAAGAAGGTAACGCCACCAATGTAAGTTACTGCAAAAAAAGAAATGACTTAAGAATTAAAGACGTCACAAAACCTTGTTTCGAGTTAAGAAGCTAACAGAAAAGCCATATGAAATGCAAAATTGCATGAAATATACCCTCACTAGTTTCTTCAGCGAAAATAGCAGCAAGCTACCAGATGATATGCAACATCAGCAAATATACGGAAGGTTAGCCGAACTGCAACCACAAAAGAATTGATTCAAGTTCATCCCAAAGGCCTTTAAATAACAAATCAAGATGGGATCAAAGGCCACAGAATATTCTGTATCAATCATTCATTCACAAGCAGCAATGACGAAGGGTAAAACAAACATTATCGCTGGCGGATTCCAAGTGCATGAAAATGTCTGAGCAGAGGCAAAGGTGGACTGCTATCAATTTACGAGCTACCAAGTGACAGTACAGGTGTAAAACCAAAAAAAACAAGCCAAAACACCAGACGAATCAGTCCGTTTGCCTGAAAATTATGCTAGCACTTTTTAAAGCACTAAATAAATAATTTCGGAGTTCATGCATGCAAACTATCAGTTTTCGGCAAAACAGGACATTATAATTGATTTGCCGATAGCATAAAGAATGCATCACTGTGAATCAAGGACTTGTCAAACACTATCTCCAAGGCTTAATTACGGTTCCAAATCCGTGCAGCGTGTGGTAAACGCTTAGCAAAAGCAAAACCGGGAACTTGTCAACAATTCGACTAGTAATCTCAATGATACAAACTTTGAATACAATAACAACCAGTCAGATTTATGCACAGCATCCAACGCAAAAACCAAACTTTCATTAATTATAGCATTAGAAGCCAAAGTGGTAATAAATAGAGCACACAACTGCCAGTTATGGGCAGATGATACACGTGGCTAGGTGAACCGGAATTTAAAGAACATGACATCGAAGATGAGCTCGAAGATCTTAAAGCAAGAAGCAACAGATTCCTGAAAATCGGTGATGCGCTTATCAAGTGAAAAATTGAAATATTGGAGAGCGAACATACATTGCCATAACCTGAGTAAGCAGATAAAGACGAGAATTTTCAAATCAAAGACATTTCAGTTTAATATAGCCACCACCACTTGAATATCATATTCACATCATATCATTTTGGTTCAAGGCTATGAAATCCGTCCAAATAGTGGTAGGTTGAATCAAGTTCTGCCGACGGTCATCAACGAAAAATCAAAAACGGATTCTTTTAAAAATTTACTGAATCAAAGCTGGTACATCAGTCATGCTAATACTGGTAAATAATAAGGCATTCTAGGAGAAACTCAATCAGACACGACGAGGAGCAGTGCATTCCTGAAAGATTCACCTTGGGAGCAGTGACGAAAAGTAAGGCGTAAATAGCCAGTCATTCGTGAGGAAAATGACGTGCAGACAAATGTGGAATGACAATAAACTGACGGTACATGTCAAAGATACTTCGAGTAAAGAAGACACCAAAATTGTAAGTGATTTAGAAGGCCAACTTACACCACTTGACGGGAATACGCTGAGCCACAACACGACCAGCAAGAACAGCCAAACCTGTACACAAGCCATGGCCCAGTACACCGCCGGCAATAACACCGATCACATCCTTAACACAAAGAAAGCATGTAAGAACATAGGTAAAACGTCCATGTCAAGAATTCAACATCTACAAGCTTGTGGATTTCCTTCGTCTTCGTTGTTCAAAGTATAAATTAAACGGTTCTTTTTACGGGGAATACATTCCACATTCGAATCAAAGCGCTCATTGAAAGTAAATGGATATAACGGCATCGAATCAGTAAACTAGTACGCATACTTACAACTGGTGCATCGCTAGCCCTACTAAACACGCGAACAAATCGTGGTTTTAACACTAAATTGGTTATAATATGACACTTTTTAACCGTGCTAAAACAAATTCCTGGAGTAAAACATAACATACTATGTGCGATGCCAACATTAAAGATCAATGAAAATAAACACAAACGTGAGCAGATTGTATCTATGCAAGCGCAGAGTTTGTCCTTCCCTAGAAAAAGACCGACAAAGACCTGATAACTTACTTCACGAGCTGCCAGAACAATGGTCGTAATCTGCGACCTATCTCCCCACTCTGCCAAGAATGTCATCATAAACGCTTCAACAAAAACTGGGGAGAGAATGCTTAGAAGAACGTTTCGAATATGAATGCATGACGTTATTTCCCTTATTTCGTTGGTTGAGAGCTGCTGCTGAACTTCCTTGTATTCCTCCTTGGTATCCTCAGGCTTCATGTTATAAGCTAAAAGAGATCAACAAAACTCTATTTACCGTCTTTTAACATCTTAATTCCGAACAAAACGAACAGGAACCCAGACGCATAGTAGGTATAAACACGCGGAAGCACCTCAGTGGCAAAACCAAGCAAAGCAGACAAAACAGTCATTGTAATCAGTGCGAACATAGCACCACCATAAACAAGTAGTCTTGGATGATTAATTGACAGTATCGCAGCGATAAAAAACGTCTTATCACCGAGTTCAGATATGATGATTACGTAGACGGACGCGAGAAACCCATGTAGAAATCGTTTGTAGTAAGTCGGGGCAATTTGAGTTCTGTTATTTTCCAGAAAAGCGGCTTCCACTTGATTTCCCTGCGGGATAACTGCACAATCGATAGCAAAAAGCGCCGTTAAAAGCACAAGAATAACGACACCACGCACCCTCGAATTCATACCCCAACCCGACGAAATAATTCGCGCAACCCCTCTGACCTTAAGCTTTAACATCAAAATTATGCCATTCATCTATTTATTCAAAATTGTTATTGTAGAATGAAAAGTGGTTTAGGAAACATATTACCTAGCCATTAGCTAGAAGAAAAGTCAAAAGCACCCGTACACGTCAATTATTCCACCAAATAATACCTCTATCACTACAATGGTTTAAAATAAAAATCTGGTCTTGCATTTTTAAGTCGTACTCATTAAAATTGAAACTCTTTAAATTCCAAGATTTGATTAGTAATTCCTTTATAACACAACCCTGTGAATTTGTACAGAAGCTACGAATGTTACAAAACTGGAAACTATTTAAACTTCCCGAGACTTTGCTTAAGGCGAAACAAGACATGGTACTGGGGCAGAATATGTGTTGCTAACATAAGAAAGGGGTCTATGTCACTGCCAATGCCCAGGTATCTGGTAACCCATAGAAGGCACACCAACGAAAACCCCAATCGACCCACTATCAAAACCGAAAGTTAAACTGTTATACAACTGCCTTCCCTAAAATAAAACTTCGCTCCCCTGCGGCTTTTCGAGCACCCAATAAAGTCGTAATAAGACGAAGTACCGTGGAGAATATGCATTACTAGCAAACAGAAGGGCTGAGATGCCACTGGCGTGGCCCAAAAGCCATGCATCTGAGCGAAAGTGTAGCCAGCGGGGACCAAATTGCCCGTGCAGATAAACATATAGTGGAAAAACACCAATCGATACGTTCCACCTAATAACCTAACTTTTAATATTACCCATGCCCTAGATGCATTGCTTAACTGTATCGATATTTCCTGGGGTGGGGGATGTAATCAAATTTATTTGGCTAATATAGAATTCGTTGGAAGGGTATCTAAAACCGACCCGTCACTGAAAAATGCTTCTGCCTAGCGAATAAAATAAAACAATCAGTCGGATAAAAACAAGTCCACATGCCTTAACTTACTTTTCCATCACTTAAGCTATTCTGTTTAAATACCCAACGATATGACGTATCCAGTGCTAAGCCGTTAAGTTTTGCCCAGAAGAGATTATTAACATTGTGTGGATTATTATTCAGTACTGTTTCAATTTGAAATCTTAGTGTTCGCTTTTGTTAAGTGCATGAACTAGATAACATATTGTCGAAATGGTTCTTTCTCTATTTGGATTTGTTGGAAATTTTAAAGTAGCACTATTTGATTATTTGAGGCCAGACAAATAGTGCGAGATACTTGCAGAGAGAATTCGGACCATTGGTTATAGTGCTGATTCCACCCTACTTTGGGAATCTACTTAGAAACAATATGTGACTAACTGTTGCTAATAAATACAACTCTGAGCCTTTGGCCCGTCGTTCAACACACGTGATACAGGTCAGGCGCATCGTTGTTGGTGCGCTCAATGGGACCGGTTATAAGCAACCTCATTTCTAGGCACATATTCTACATCAGAACCAGAGCGTTTGGGTCTGTTTCGCGTGTCGAGTACCTTCCACCTTCCTTACCCATAAACACAGTGGCAAATATCCCATGTTCCCAAAAATACTTTATAAATAAGATGTTTTTACCTCGCCGCTTTTCTACCTGCTATATTTGACAGTGATAAAAAGCCACTATGTGACCCTTTCATTAGGCCTCGGATTTGAGTCAACAGCCAACCTAGATAGGAAGTTCCTTTCGCGATCCTCCACCTAAAATGTAACCCTGAACAGCTTGTCTGCTCCTTCCTTCCACTTGCGGCATGTTGCGCAACTTTGAAGCCTCTGCAATCTTATGCTCTGATTTATTCCGTATATTCTTGGTGATCCACTCGTCAATGCGTTGCGAAGGCTTCGTCAAAGGATTTTTAAACCGTATCAACAAATGATCTACGGGTAATTTGTGTGACTCTTTGAGCTCATTTTCCCTAATTACCAATTCATCTGCTTCGTCTCCAACTCCTATTACGAGGTTGAATTTCAACACCTGGGGACACCGCATCCACGACGTTAGAGCGGCAATCACCTCCTCCATGCAGTAGTGAATTTGTATCATATGCGGATAGCAACCCCTCTTGCATACCTTTGAATGCTCAATGGCCTCAGAGATTGAAAACACTACAATATGACACGCTTCGCACGTATAGGTTTCCATCACACCCATCGGCTGGACAAAAATTTGCTCGTACCGCTCCCGCTTTGGACAATGATGTTTCAAAAAGCTGATAAACTGTCGATAGATCTCCTCACATTCACTACATCTAAATTTTACCTGGCGTGCTGGAAGATATGGATTTTCTGCCATTTCCTTCGACCACCGCCGTAGAGCAATGTTAACCAATTCTGGTGTGTGAAGTCTAACGAAATAGAAACTCACTGGGGAGCACGATTTCAGGTGCTCAACGCACTCGAAGATGTCCACGAAGAGACATTCGCATTCACAACAAAAAAGTATAAGCTCCAAGTTCATGGGAGTGAGTCGTTTTCCCGTCACGCATGGATGGTACAAGAACTCAACCAAGTTAGGCTGCTCAAACCCGCATTCCGCACAGCAGGCATGGACTGCTATCGTGTCTGCCGTTGGTTTTTGTGGTTTAATAGGGAGATTCATGACCTCATCCAGACTGCGCGTTTTAAAGCACACTCCATGACGAAGATGGTGGTCGAAATCAAAGCAGTGCCGCCCAGTGACAAACTGTTGACAACCGATCTCAGCAGTTGTGAGTACGAAGTCAACGCAAAAGGCCTTCTTCAAGTCACAGTAGCTTACATGCTTGTGATACTCGTTCTCATGGAGAAAAACGTATTTGCAATGAAAGCAGATTTTGAGGCGTCGCAGGTTTGCGGGTTTTAAGACAATGAACAGGCAACAACTATGCAGCAAAAATTCAATTTTTGACTTGAACCGCTTGCTGCATCTGCAGCACCGACATACATAGTGGTAATCTGGTTCGTGTGGCATGAACTCCCGTTCAGTACGCTTTGCCCAATTGATGTAGTAATCTTGATGGGTTCGATAACCTATAGGAATGACCTCCTCCGGCTCAAACCACACCTTCATATCACAGCTCCTATGTCCAAAACATACATGGGCAGCGTAGTCAGCATGTGAGTAGAAAACAACCTCACAAACACGACATGCAAACGCTTGCGTACACCCCAGATGGTACTTGGCAGCGTAGTATTTTCTCCAGCAACTATGATCTATGAATGCTTGGAAGGAATCGAGAGCCAATTTGCAACAAGCGCAACGGAAGTGATTGAATCTGTAATCCTGAATATCATAAGTTGTGTATATGATCTTCGGTTTCACGTCCTTCAAAACAACAGGCGGGATTTCAAGGTAATTGAGGTCTTTGACTTTAGAACCCTTGGAACCCTTTGAAGCCTCATTTTTGCCCTTGCTTCTTTCTTTGTTCTTACTTTTGCTTCCTCCCTTGCTCTTGGATTTGGATGGCATTTCGCAGCTTTTAGGCACACGCTCTCAACAAGGCCACTTTGAAAAAATCGGTCGATGAAAACCCCAGGGTCACATTAGAATACCTTGTGGATCTGCAAACGACGGGGCTTCAAGCGACTAAAATAAATGCGAATGCATTTTGAGGCAGATTTCTCAATAATCACATCAAGATAACACCAATGGCATGATTTGCAGTCTCTGATTACCTGTTTCGAGAATAACACCATGTGAACACTTTGAATAAACTTACACATGCCTCACTCACGCACAAAGTTCATTTCAGTTTAATCAAAATGCATCGAATCTGAAAAATAAGCAACCCCTGCAGTAATGCACAAGGCGCTGGCTCTACGACTAGCTCTCTCTGAAGTTTTTACCTTGTATTCCCTAATCACTAAGACTTCAACACTATTGGAACCAATAACATAGGAAGAAAAACTGATTAAACAAAGACTTAGAATTAGAGCAAGCGCGTGACAAGGCGCTCAAGTCGGATAGAGGGTGATGCTGGTATTTTGTGAACATTCAAGCCAATATATATCGGATTCTCAACAGCAGTGATGAACATTGGAGTGACGATGCCAGCTACTAAAGCCACATCGAACGCAGAGAAGATGAGCTCCCACACGTGTCCGCACTTTGTCCTGTTCCGCTCAGCTCGATGCAGGTTTCGCAAAATCCAACAAAACTTCACAATGCCCCTTGCAAATGCTAGCAGTAAACCTAGTTTTCAAGTACTGAGACCGCCTACTGCTGAAAATAAGCAATGCAGCATCATCAGTTATTTCACAGAAAATGGCGTTCCAACTTTTATTTATCTAACCGCCAATTAAGAGTACGAAAGGCGGCTCCATACCCACCACAATGGAAGTGTACCCTGCAACAAATCATGGTTTCTTCGGCTTGCACTAAAGTAACAAGATCATATTCAACAAATATTTGGGGCGAATAAGTGCAAATGTCCTAAATGCAAAAAATGGAAAGTATTCACAAATCGATGCATCGTTCAGGAACACCCAGAAAGAGTATTTACTGGCCTGGTATTAAGTTATAAATTTGCATAACTCACCACCCAAGGCAAAATCTTCGAAAAACGCACTTCAAAACAATCAGCTTAAAAGTAACAGGACAAATTTTGCCAAAATACAGTTCATACTGCTCGAAAAAAGGAAGTGACGAAAACAACTAGGAAGTTTGAAAACATCAACGTACTCTAGTCGCACAAACATGTATTCCCACTTTATAGATTTAGATGTTGCTACACCGAGCAAGAGGAATATTACGCAAGAATTTTGACGAAGAAAGCAAGGAAGATCCCCGAAGAAAGCACTACTTTGATGTGAGGATAAGGGCCAATATCAAGCCATATAAGCCAAGAACTTCGGCAAAAATCAGAATGAGGATCATGCCGACAAATATTTTTGCTTCTTTGCAGTAGGCACGAACGCCAGCATCACCTACGACTCCAATGGCGTAACCAGCAGCAAGGCCACTCAACCCAACACTGAGACCAGCACCAAGATGGCGCAAAGACCTAACACGTAAGATTACTAAAAATTATAACACTACTTCTCCATTGAATAATTAACATCGACTTCTTGAGAAATGAGCACTGAGACAACCAAACCATAAACCGCAATTATTCCAGCCATAACAACCGGAATAAGTGATTTCATCAGAAGCTCGGGCTTCCGAGAGGCCATACAAGATATACCTATGCTGGCCTTCGCCGTACCAAAAGCAGCACCCAAAGCTAAATACCATAAATACAAAGCAATGTCTTACCACAAAAAATCATTGAAGCAGAAGCACCCAAAATTCCAAAAAACGGAACATACATTGGCCCGGGAGGGGCCATGACCGCATCTATGCACACACAAATGAAAGGACCGGCTTTCCACCATAATTTATTAACCAGTAGGGAATTTGCCGAGAAATGTATCTTGCACAATAGAAGTGAGTATATTATGCTTACAAAACCACATTTATAAAATTAATTGAAGTGAGTGATTGTATTTGTGGGACTACAGTTTGTACATAGATAGGCAAATTCAAGTACGACATTTGTATTCTGGAAAGTGTCGCTGGTAAAATATACCTAATGGGCTCCTTAAGAGCGTTTTTTTTTGGTAGAATAGATGTAATACCCATGTTGTTTCAATGGGCCTACTAGGGGGGAGGCAATTCGAAATTCGAACCTGGTGAGAGGGTCGTCGCCTTCCGTGCCTAGGTGTGATTGCTGTTCTTCCCCTCCCTAAACGTTGTACTTATCCTCCCGATCATTTCCCTTTGATAAATATGTAAAAATTAAATCAACAGGCTTGTTCTAAGAACACCAGGGACAGGGAAGAGGAGACCGTGTAATTTGCCAACCGTGTACGTCCAAATTGACTGCCAAAGCTGTCACTAGTAAAGATAAATATCCTAAAGCTACTCCAAAATTCTCGCCTGCTTTATTTTAAAAGCAGTGATTTTTTTGAAAAAATATAGTCTTGCGAAATTCGTGAGCAATCACTCATTCTCTTTGTTCTGTCAAAGACATGTTTTATGCAACAATAAATTTATTAGAATGTGCTGAAAAATCGTCTACCGTGCATCTTATAGTGAGCGTTTTTAGTTCGAATGAACATGTTTGTAACGTTTTGATTATTTACGCAGCACTTGGTTTTGATTTCACTGGCATTCAAGGCCCCAATTTTGCATTTCCGCATCACCTCCAGCTCATGCCAGTTGCCCAAGTCTTGCTGTACGTCAGTAATGCATGTTCTGCCCTATTGGCATGCTTTCTTTCATCTTTAGGTTAGTCTCGAGGAGGCGCGACTTCTGCGACTTCTGTCGTAGCTAGTGCCTGTAGCAGCTTTAAATAAACATGTCTCCGCCACTGCAACATTTAAGTCTACGCCTCGCAGATCTTTGAGTAGAAGTGTAGTCTTTTACCAGCTTCAGAGAGAGAAAACCGGTATATTCATATGAATATAGAATATTTCACGGAAGCTGCCAAAGTATCTTTTAATGACTCAAGACACCGGAACGGTCGCTTCTGTTTTCTTTATCCAGTAAATTTGCCAACACGAAAATTCAGAACCCGCGCGTAGCGATCCTAATTCTAATTTGAAGAGTTTACTCTTTGCTCTGCTAAGTAAAACTTTGTAGAACCAAAAGGGAAAGCAATGGGTGAATAAAAAAGTGAATCTGAATTGATATTTAAAACGCTGTAGGAAATTTTATTCTAAACTTTGTTTTGGTTTAACTGTTAACTACAAAGACGTCTAACCTGAAACCCTTGTCCCAATTACTATAAGTGGGATTTATATGTCCATTAGTTTCTCGGATCTTATCAAGGCCAGCAAATGGACAGTCAATGGACAAAACCTGTAGAGATTCGCACTTTGATAGGACCATCCAAGGATTTTACTAAGGATAACTAATGCTGCCTTGAATGTAATACAGGTATCGGTATTTCCTTGCCACATCTAAAGTCTACAATCCATATATCTGTGGCATTTAATGAAATTACCAACTGGTATTCTAGCGTTTAGTTGCTAGGTTTTAGACTGTACAAACACTTATGCATATCGTCTTTTGAATGAAAGATAATAAAAATCGCAGCCGGTTTACCGTACACCGAGGAGAATCTACTTCGTGATTGACAATGGGTGATTGTAATACTTATGTTATTTTAACGCTTCTTTTCAAAGAGGAGGTGGGCTACAATCAAGTCTCGTGACTGAGGCGTCAAAGTCAAGTAAGATGGAGGGAGCTTCTGAGTCCGCACCCCTAAACTTGTCCTATTTTCCCTAATCTACTTATCCGAATAAAGATGTCGAAGTTGTATGAACTTGGGTGTACTAAGAGTACGAGGATCAGGAAAGAGAAAGGTCTGTGAGGCTCGCCTTACAGTAACAGCTTTTGAAAGAGAAGATAAATTTAGTGTTTCCATCGGACCTGTAATCTTCTGCTAAATACCATTTAATCACGATGTAACATATCTTCCTCTAACCAGTCTTCCCGACCCAAGGGTATACAATCGGAGTCAAAGTCAAAATATTGGAAGCCTTGGCTCATGCGCACTAGGTTTATGTTTAATGGAAACGCTTGAGAATGGCAAATGCGGTACACGTGTTTAAAAAATATTATCCCTTGCAAATTTTTGCTATGCTGATGATTTTTCTAGCGCTTTTTGATGAGTAAATACTAGTTATAAATGCTTTGTGAATTACAAGAAAATAATCGTGTCGTTTGTTTTATTCTATCAAGCCTGCTCATTGTATGCTGCCGAGGTGCGGGTTTCTCGTGCGTTCGCTCTTGATCGTTCGGTTGTCATTAGATCTACTTTAACGGAAACTAGGGCGGTTAAACATGTATAACGTACACAAAATGCTAACTCTAGACTCGAATCCTTTGATTCGATTGGAGAAGCGACTGGCCGCATTGAAGCATACTCATAACGCCGGACTTACTCGTAGCGCCTTTTTGACTGAAAATAACTTTAATGTTAATCGTCAGTTGATGGAAAGTCTGATTTTACGACTACATTCCGTTGATCCAAAATCAAAGAAAAGTAAGCGTGTTGCCAATCGTGTGAAGGTAGGGTCACCTAAGGTACGGTAATATTTCTCTCTATCTGCTTTAGAGAATGCGTCCTATGTCCGTGAAACCACAGGAACTCTTTAATCCGCATTACCCTGGTTACACTGGGTTCCAATCAAAATTGCATGCCGTCAAAAGACTGCACTCCTCTGAGTACTGTGATAGCTCTGACACTACATTTTTGAAAGATTTGAAGGAATTGCCACCTCTTCATCCATCAGAAGTGGAGACCGTTTTGCGTAAAAAAGATATGAGCACGCGTAATCACCCTCAAAAAGGAGAACCAATATTTCCCCCACCTCCAGATCCTTCTTGCACCATTTCTGCTAGAGGTGTAGCAACGTCCGCCGGCAAAACAAGTACTTCAAATGCGCAGCGTATTCGTAAAGGTTCACAGTCATTTAACTCAACAGGGCCTTCTCCAGATAAGTACGCGATACCAACAACTTCATGCGTTCCTAACTGTGGTCGAAGTATGCGTTCCGATGGACTCTTGTCATCTCTTCCCGCTGCTTCATACCCTCATGTGGATTTGCGCGCTAAATATGATCCTGATTTTTATCATAACGCGTCTTCAAGCTACGATCAATTTGGATTGGCTGGATTTTCAAACGATTATGCTGGTTTCAATTCATATAATCGGATTCCCAGTTACGCTTCCTGGGTATCATTGGGGAAGTATGATCACAATATGTCTGATCGTATTGCTCAAAGCTCGGCGTCCATATCACCTCCTGATATCGCACCCAGCTACAGGAACTATCCGGCTACCGTGGGGCCTGAAAATCCTTCTGGATTCACGACGAATTTGCCCTTTAATCAACCCTTCCAAAATGAGGATTTCATGCACGGTATGCCTTCCTACCCCCCATCAATCGACCCGCAGCAGTCGGCATATGAGATGAATTTCTCGTCTTACAATTACCCCCCACCAAATACCACGTCTTACTTGTGATTACACTTTATTATTTAGCGCCGCTTTGAATGATCTGGGTTGTTTAATGATTTTTAACTCATCGCTTTTTGCTATTAATGGGTTAGTCTATTTTATGAGGCATAAACTGAAATATTTCTTAGTTTGAATAAATGGAAAAAGTCTAACTGAACTGTGCACTGGTAAGAAAGTCCATGAGCGAGTCGTACGTGCTGTATCTTTACCACGCGGATGATCCTAACCAGGGCACAACTCGAAAGCTCAGTTTCGTCGGTGTTGCCACCGGGGAAAACGAAGGTTATGGAGGTTTTTTGTCTTGCTTTAATTGGGATGCAGAATTTGTGATAAGGTTCGATGGCTTCCTATCCAGTGCACTTGGTAGCGGTAGGGGGCATGTGGTGTTCCATGATCCGAATATCACCAAGACAACCATTATGGTGCAATGATCATGGTGAGATGGTCCAATGTGGTAGTTCCCACGTTATGGACGCCATTGTACCAAGCAAGCATAGGTTTAATGCCCGGAAGACCTGAATTAATGAAGGTTTCAAAGATAATACGAACGGCCCCCTCAACGATGGAAGTCAAAGGTGGCGTTTCTATCAGTGTTTTATCCGCTGTGGAACCTGGTCTGCTAGTCGTCTCGCTGATAACATGAAGTTCCGCATAAAAATGAGTGGATTTGGGGTGATTTTTCTTCTGTCAATGGAGTGAACATTGTCATTTACACTTAATAGCATACAATTTCTTTTATGAGCCAACGCCATGTGAGACTGAGACAAGAAGGAGGGAGGAAGCAGTCAGTCTCCACAGAACGCTCCATAGTCGCATGTACACCTCACGCATGAAACTAGCAGCACTGTCACCACTGCTCGCACCTCCCTGCACTGCATGCAGTGCGCCCTCAAGGCAAATAACTTGATGCTAATTGCCGCGCCTTCCCATAGCCGACGGCGACAGACAACCAAGTCGCGAGGCACCGGCCTTTAAGTCCGATAGACAATCGATCGCTTACAAGTCTACCAGAAAATCGGTGCCCCTTCTAAGTAAAGACGTATCACACATTACAGGCATCATTCAAACAATTTTCCTCAAAGAATGAAATGGAATTTATTACAAATCTTGCGGTTATGGATAAGACATGGATAATATGAAAGGACATACGAATGATGTTATTCACTAGATATTACATTCGACAAAATGAAATATGTTTCAAAGTCGGCATGATTAGATTTTAAGGCAACAGCAAATGGGACTATGCACACACCGAGAGACAGTGGTATCTAGACCTGCTTCTTGACAGCCCTCTCAGAAAGGATAGTGAGCAGTTGTGAGCTGCGGGCAGCCATCTCGCGAGCTTCTTCAAGGAGGCCAGCGTGGGCCAGGCCGGCGTCGAGGAGATAGTCGACGAGGGCGGTGGCAAGGATGCCATCCTCTGCGTGCTCCTGGGCGGAGACCACGAGATGGGCGAGGTAGCGTACCAGCGGGTGGCGTGGATTCAGCTCCAGCACCGGCTCCATCACCCGAAACTTCTCTGATGCTGGTCGACCCGCCAGCGCGGTGCGCAGAAGATGACGCATCGCACCCGCCTCACGGATTTGTACACAGCAGGGATGCTGCGAGAGCCGTCGCGTCACCTTCAAACACACATACGATACCATTCATGCCTCTCGATCAACGGCAATGTATATGCAAACAAAAACCATGTGATAAACACTGCTGGGGAGCTGAAACTACACAAGGACAAGCATAATGTCAGACGAGGAACGTCCTGTGACGTATTACTGCAAATTTAATCTACTGCATCATCCTTTATACGCTGAACCTCCTTGTTATCCAGAAATCTTGTCTAAATCCATGATAAAAACCAGCAAATACCTACGCCTCATGAGCGCACCTTGGAGGGGCCTGGTGCGACCTTTACTGAAGTGAAGATACTGAAACAAAGGGAATTATGAGAGGTCCGGTAAAAAGCCTGTGGATGCCATTAAGTTCTATTTCGATTTTGTAGGATCTGCAAACATGAATATCTGACCCGTATCACTAGGTATGGATATGTTAAAAATGGTGATAAGGGCGGAAAAACTCACTTTGACTTTCTTGATCTTAGATCCGAGCGTTTCCTCGGCCCATTTCGAGAGGATATTTACCTCCTCCTGGGAGAGACAGTCGCCCTCAATTTCCTCCACAGCCTCAGTATCTGAGGCGTCCTCAGCAAGAACCTTCTCAATTGAGCGCAAATTCTTCCGATCGTATTGCCCCATATTTACCAGAACTAATTCGTCGTAGGGCTCATAGAGAAACAACACCTAAAGTGTTAAGTATGGGCGAACGGTACTATTGATAAAAAATGCATCACAATCGGTGTCCTCCTAAAGGTAGCGAAACGCACCCCTTCTGATGCTAGCTGCATCCGAACAGTGGATTATCGTGCATAAGGCTCGAAACAAGATACGATTTAGTTGCATACTAAAATAACTGATTCAAATGGCTTCAACGAATAATTAAAGTGCGCTATAGTAAATCAATCGGCTGTAAGAATTAGGGAATATGCAAAAGCAGTGAGAAAAACATTTAAACTAAACGACCGCGCAAATGTAAATTTCCACCTCAATTTCACCCTTTTTCTTTTTGATGGCTTCAAAGTATGGAGAGGCTTCGGCTAGGTCTCTATTAGGGGCTGAGAGAAAGTAAATGTTCCTCTCTCCAGCACGCATTCGAGAGCCGTATTCGTCAAAGCTGGTCCTCTGGCCCGCAGGCAAGGCAGAGCTTTCAAAGCGAAGGAGTTTGGCAATCTCCTCACGGGTGTACTGATCAGGCTCAGTAACGATTCCCTCTTTCAGGTAGAGACCAAAATCGTTGAGGAAATCTAGGAAATTCTTTGCATCGTGTTTCGACTCGTTCTAAAGTGCATCAAAACAAGCCTACTTATTGATTGACAGTAAAATTCACACTGACCTGTTTTACAGTCGACACACCTCAAGGAAACGAAGAACTCGGGAAGTTAGTATGCGATTAACTTTGCGAATAAGGCCATGATCCTGAAGCAACTCACGACTTAGGTTGAGAGGAATGTCTTCACTGTCGACAACACCGCGGACGAAACGCAACCATCTGGGTAGTAAACTCTCGGTTTTGTTTGTAATAAGAATCTACGAAATAGATTTTAAAAACTAAATCTGTCGACCCATAAAGATAGCTATGATTTCAGTTTAGTATTTCAAACATCATAAGCCCTCGTTTAAAAACTCTGAGAACGAGAGCAATAGAGATCTATGTAGTATGAAAATGTCACAAACCTTCCGACTGTAGAGGGACAGTGAGCTACCCCCTTCCTTGGCAGCTTCAAAGATGCTCGGTTTTACAGTTGGAACAAACAAAAGTGCGCGCAAATTAATGGGCGAATCGGCTTTGAACGTGATTCGATACCTTGGCGAATCATAGCTAGTACTGGTAATAAATTGATAAAACGATGTGTATTCCTCTTCGGATACCTACAAGGAATAAAGCTTAGTGATGTAAAGCAAGAAAATAACCGGGGAATCACCCAGCTACAATAGAGTGAATTATTTTGAACAATAGAGTAGTGCCAGAGCATGTGTAATGCGTCACAATATCCCGCCATAATTCACCTTCGAAGGATCCTTCGCCCAGAGCGGCTCAACAACGTTAATCTGCTTTCCATTAAGGAAAACAGGTACACCAATGAAGGTACTATACTTCTGGATGACAAATTTGATTGTTGATTCCCTTGCGAACTCAGCAGAGTCTTCCTTTAGCCGAAGGATAACTTTAGTTCCCGGAGTAACTCCTTCAGAGTCGTAAATTGTGTAGATGCCTCCCGTCCCATTTGAAATCCATCTGTGACCCTTTCTGCCATTTTCTTCGACCTGACTCATGGATTGGACCTCAACCTAACAAATAAGATCACAATTAATTGGAGATATAAATTTGACGCGAAATAAGACGATAGCAACCAGTATCAAACGGGGTTTTGTAACTTCGGAGTGGATTTATGCAAGGTATTATTTAATAACTAGCAACATATTACGGCAAGGCACGACGCTCCCACGATCAACAACTGCTACGATACAATCTTGCTGCAGCGGTGAATAAAACTCACTTCATCAGCCACCATAAATGCGGCGTAGAAGCCGACACCAAACTGACCAATTATGTTGGTCCAGTCATCACCAGACACATTACTTTGTTTCAGCTGAGCGACATATTCTCTGGATCCAGATTTGGCGATTGTGCCCAGATTTTTCTCCATTTCATCTGCAGTCATACCGACCCCATTATCAAATATCGTGAATGTCCGCTTATTCTCGTCCGTTGTTATGTGGATTTCCAGAGGGCCTTCGGGACCTCTCACACTACCCGAGGTTTGCAAAAAGCGTAGTCGCTCCACCGCGTCACTAGCATTCGATATCAGCTCGCGCACAAAGATCTAAAGCGCATATTATTAACAGCGGGAGTCAAAAAAGTCAGGCATAGAGGTGATCAGTTTTGCCAAGTTCCCATCTCAAAATCACAACTGATAGACTGAACAAGTCAAAAGCCTACAATATTTGATATTTAAATTTTTATTAAAAATTAGAAAAAAAAATATATTCTTACTTCTTTATCTGAGTATAGTGATTTCGCGACAATATCTAGTAGTTTGCTGGTGTCTGCTTGAAACTTTTTTACTTTTCCTTCATGCTGTGATAAGCCGGGGAACGCCGATGCTGTAGAGAAATAACGTGATCGCAGGGAAACACTTTGAATGTGAATGGGCCTCCGTGTCGCTACATATCTAAGAACAAATTGATGTCGATCAAGTACAGGACGTCTAGCAGCCCAGCGACAAAGCGACGTACTAAAGGCTAAAAACAACAAATCAGGAATAGGTTACTTTGCAAATTGCACCCAACACATCATTCTCACAACAGAATAACTGCTTTAGAAATGCGCTTAAGAATCGTTGTACAAAACTGGGTAAATACAAACAATACCCCCAACGGTTTCGACATTTCCAGATATTATATTAGATCATCCAGTAATTTTGTAGCATACTTGGGCTGATAAAGGCTGAAAACCACGCCACGAAAACAGGCTCTAAATCCTAAAATTGCTTTGCATTATCTCTAGTGCATTACACTTTTGATTAAAAGCAAAAAGGCACACCCATAATCCGCAAGCATACGACTGCCAACCGTTTGACGCGCTGAAAAACAAGACATTCTAAACACTGACTTTATATGTTATGAGCATCAAACAGTTAATATTCTACTGTTTCCTAGATTCCGGTGCTTGCTTCTTTATGAATTGTTGTGCACCTATGATTAGGATATGTTAACTAGAAAAATCAGAGAAGCATATGAGAACAGTTGCAATGCCAACAGCCCAATTCACGCCCGATATGTGCCAGCTCTTGATTATTACTTACACTGTCCATACCTTTTGAAACAAATTAAGAGAGAACAGTTAGGTTCACATCCTACATTTACTAAACATTCTGTATCATTTACCGAAATGAATCAAGATCACTACCAGCTGGAAATTCGACTGGAATCCGCTGTTCATCTATCCAATGCAGTTTTGTTAGGAGACCACTTCGGATCGGTGCCATTGTATCCTCGCGGGTGTTCTAGCCTACACTCCACGGTAGTGCTTATCAGGCCCCAGTATCGTGTCTTCTTTCATCTTCTGGGAAGCATCGGGGTGCTACACTCCTACAAGCTTGAGGTGACAGCCCACCTAGCTCTCATTATATATCCAAATGCACGGCTTTATCCACGCGAGCCTGACTCATTACAAGCACTGCGACAGCATTCATGTTCCCCAAAAAGTACGGCTCGTGTCCGTCAAGCTGCATAAGCAACTAGACGTCGTCACACTATAGAGGCCATTGTTGTCCTTGCCTTTGTAAACCACCTTATCAAATTACCCTCTTTTCAACGCTAATCACTGAGGCGTTGCGGCATTTGGGTGGGTTCCTCTATGGACTATTGGGAATTTAGCATATTCCAAGATCGCAGTTCATGGAGAAAATTGCCACTCCCCATGGCAGTAGCTTGTTAAGCAGGTACCTTGCGTTCGCGCTAACTTCATCGCAATATTTCACTGTAAATGGCACCACTTTGTACTACAGGTTAGTCAAATTAATACACGAAAACCAAAAGCTACATGTTGATCTCCCATCGACTTCGATTTCACCCCCGCATTTTAATCAGTTTATTCAGTTTTGCAAGACAATTTTGTTCTTTTGTAATAACTCATCGCTGAGAAAATTACTCCATGAATTGCTATCCCCACCGAGTAAATGAGTTGAAGGAAAAAAGTCGGTTATGAGAACCCAAGAGATAACACTGCGGTCAGTATTCAAGAGGATCCAAATAATACCTGAAGATGCTTAGTAATATTCTAGGTAGCTAAACAAAATGAACAGGCGCAATGCATCCGGCTCACCAAGTGTTGCGGTGTGCAAATTAACCAGTAATGGGATATAGCCCCCGTCCTCTTTGCCTTTGTCTTTTACTGCCTGACACATATTGATAAATCCTGGTAACCAAAGGATGTCTGTGTCACTGCCACCCAATTATTCCAGCTAGTAAACATTGGTAGAAAGAAAACTCGAGCGTATACAATGAAGTCATTGGATCTTGTCACCACTTAACAGGTAGAAAGGGAAAGTGGGATATTGACTTTGTCTGCCCAAGCTCAAATAGAAAACTTTAATCACCACTGTGAGGTTACTATGCAGGTCACGCACCTACCTGCACCATTTGTATGAAAAATCTCCCAATCCAAGAAAGGGAGATTTTTAGAACATGCTGCCAACGAAGCTAACAAAAATGACCATTTTAAACTATCATCCATGCGTCGTAAATGCAGCATGGGTAGTAGATCGAACGAAAAATGACGACCTAGCAAACTTACAACTCAAATGATCTATAAAAATGCGCCATTCACGTCAATATACAGCAGGTGGCATGAATTACGCAGCATCAACTTCAAACGCTTGTACCATTTTCGGAGGCCAGTCATGTTCGACGGCAACCACATCAAGAGCGAGCAAGTCCACCGGACAGTTCAGGAGAGAGGAGAGACTGGGTCGCGTTCGACCTAAGTCCCCGTGCACTAGCTCCTTCACGTAGGTGCCAGCTTCACAGCAAAGCTCCAACAAGAAGAGTTCCTCCTTTGGGTGTACATCTGCCTGGGCGGCGAACTCACTCAGCTGTGGAAAAAGGTAACAAAAGCGCCGTACTTGAATAAATTGCAATGATTGAGGGGATGCCTCTTGAAGGCATAGAAGTAAACCGTCGTTTTGATTTTAAAATAGAGGCAGCATGAGCAAATGCTTTGATCAGAAGTAGGATCAGAAGTGAATACAAGAAGAAAGTGAACGAATGAATAGAGGAATAAAGAGGAGAATAGATACCAGATAAATACTATGGATAAATAAAATATGCGCTGAATACTAAAGAGTGGCCTTAGAATTGAGGCTTATGGCATTGCTTACCAGAGGAAAAATAGCAAATGTCCTAAATTGGTTTTAAAAGCCAAACTCTGCAGCTCACACTACAGACTTTTGTAGAACCAAACATTAAAAGATAGACGACCAACTGAAAATAGTGCTCCTAAATCAATGCAAAACCCTTTTTCATTTTGTGAAGGAGTGTTAATACACTTTCATAAGTGAGAGAGAACTTTCGATTAAGGAATATTCAAGATTACCGCTCAAATGCTTCTTGTTTGTCCTATTAATGCTAATATAATAGGAAAAGGCCAGCATATACAATGATTCAATTTCCAAAATGTGTCTTCATTATAAATTAAATTGCCCAGAGGAAGCAAATTGTTGAGATTTTCCTCTGATAGCGCGGATTGTAGTTATCTGAAAAACAGACCACGGTGAGTAATTTAAACAACAGCTCGTCCACTTGCCAAAAAAGGTGCCTTTTCTCGAAGCACATTGCTAGCGAAGTCGGCCAGACGGAACCAGATGATGTCCCGTGTCCGGGACATCAGAGAACGTCGATGGAGAACTCGGACTGGAGTTAACTGGTTGATAGTGAATCGACCAAAGGAGAGGTAGGCGACATCACAACCGAGATCGGGCTGGTATGTAGCTTCCGTCGGCGGCCACTGCAGCGCTGACGGTGACGCTGCAACACCGGTGCCATGTGATAGCGCACTCAGCCGTGAATCAAGCAGGCGAACTCGCGTAGTTGTGAGACCACCCTGAGGACACCAGCAGAGAGCGCGGTAACGTTTCTGCTTTTCAATCTTACCGCCCTTCAAGGAGGCATTCACAGATGCGACGCTGACAACCTGCCAACAGTGAAAGCGTACAACACTGATTGCTCGTCTACCCTAATCTCAAAGACCGTCAAGCGCACTTCTATGTCTCAACTACATAAAATTTATCATGTTACCACCTCATCTCTATGACACTCAAAAATATACACAATGGCCCTAACTGATCTACTCGTATCAAATTTTATCACGGTGAAAACTCACCTGTAGATCACGAACGAAGACCCGATCACCAGTAGAATTGTTGATAGTACTGGCGAGCCAGGAAAGGTCATTGGCACAGTCGTACCCAGCCTTTGCGTCATTTTCCTGTTTACCACGCAGTGATGAATGTGCCCTAAGCATCGAACCCAGTGTTTTATTGTAGGAATTCAATTCGAGCGCAAATGGTCGACCGAGGCCTAAGCACCTAGGATAAAAAGGATGCATGCGAAATTATTTAGGGTGTGCATACAAACCACACATCATTATCGAAACAGGATTGTAAATGGCAGAATGAAATACACCAGTTTAACTGGTAAATGCTACAAAACGAATCCAATCATAAAAGGGGATGGCATCAAATCCGTACTATTACATCTAATTATGTGAACGTAAGCTTTTTGGAGAGTAATTTATGCCAAGGTATCAGCTCAGTAACAAATAAGGTGCTTTAATAGGCACCTGACGACGAAAACTTTTAACTATTTAAACATTTTATCCATTATTTGCAAGCGGGGTGAGAAAGTGGATACTGTGTCTTAGTGGCGCATTGGCTACTGGAGTAGAGACAGGTTAAACTACAAATAGTAGAACTATAAAAACGCCACTGATACCTTACGTCAATATCCTCACGTCCAGAACTGACAAAAGTGAAGGTGGTGCGAGGCCCAAAGGCGTCAACGACCGGAGCAGCAATCAGTTCCTCCACCGAGGAGTCCAGTTTACGTTCTCCATCGATGAACCATGGGGTTTGAGGCAGGATACGGCTCAACTTTACATAACGTCCTGCAATTACGAGCGGCGCTGGGCGGTACATCGTCACGGAAGACAGTTGAACCAGGGGGAATCTGCTACCTTCCACTTTCTGTGTTTCCAAGCTTTAGTAATAAAAGTTTGCATGATGACAACTATGTTTCAATACAATCCTGAGTTGACCAATGACCATATACACGATACACGGAGGTGTGCTGGATTTAAGAAAATATGGAAAATGTATTCATTAACGATTGATCTTGCATTTCAACAACCAACAGAAGAATATAATAAGGGGAATAAATGAAACGCCACGAATGTAGGCTCCTTTTGGAAATATAGGCAGAGATAGATTTACCATAGAAGCAAATGCAATCAGAATGTATCTGGGCAATTCCTTAAAGCTCAAAAAAGAGAAACCAAAGTCAACAATTGTTCCTCCAGGATAAATTCCTCAAAAAAGGCATCTAAGTGGAGCATTATCAAGAGGGAAAATAATGCTTATATTTTCGCAATTTGGAGTTATAAGGCGCAAGCATACTAAGCAGCGTTGGCGTTCAGTATAGACCCGGAATCAAAATGTTAGGTGCCAGAAGAAATTAATAGCATTTTCAACACCGTTTAAATTATAGGGACACAAATAATATAGCACTTGTAGGATACATAAAGGGGTCTGCAGGATCTCTAGTGCGCGGACCTCTTTAGTCTCAAGTGATTGATTACAAGTCTCCAGTGGGGACCTACTTTAGCACTTCTTCCAGAAAGATTTTGTCAGGAAGAAGGTCGAGCAGTTTCTTCAGGGAGGTACGAGACACTTGAGTAGTAGGAACGGTAGTCTCATCATCAGTAGCTCGTCGACGCTGCTTACCAAAGCGTCTGCACGTCCCACTACTGCCCGGCGAGTAGAAGCTCCAGGCGTGTGGATCGCAGTGCTGCTTTACGGCGGTCATGAGGTGCGATATGTCAGAGTTGCCCATCATATAATCGTCTGGCAGATCAAAGGTGAGAAGAAGATCCACCTGCTCGGTGGCTGCATCGAACCAGGTAGGAGGGGATTTCAAATTGGAGAATAGTGGTGGTAGAGAAATCTGCTCCTCCTGAACGTGATTAAAGCGGGTGATTTTGACTTGGTAAGTGAATGCGTTAAGCTGGCAACAATCATGCAACGCCGATTATATTAGGGTCCGTGACCGGTTTGTTCTTGGGTTATTCAATGAATTTTCTAGTGGTAAATCAGCAATTGTACCACAATGCTAAATAAACGGACGTATTTTTTACGATTGCTGCATATATATGGCTATACGTG